CACAGCTTGGTATGATTCGTGCCCGGTTGTTGTCTTCACCATAAGCTTGATGGCACCGAGAACCTGCACTGCGCCATTCGGCTGCACTCGCTCTACACGACACGGCTCCAAAGGACGACCTGTTCTTACAAGTCGAATCTCGGACAGATCCGCCTCTTGTCTAAGTCTTTGAACAGAAGAGAGCAGAGGTGGCCGAGACGAACTTGAGGAAGCGACTTCTTCCTGAGCAGCATCATGTAAGTAGCCAGCCCGATCCATGCTCGATGCCGGAGCAACATGCCCTCGGGAAGTTGGCCTGGGCCTAGAGACTGCTGGAACCTGGGCTTCTGCAGGAAGTGCAATTTCCTGTTCAATTTCGCTGTCTGACTCTGATTGGCTCCCCTCATCACCTACTCGTTGCACGAAATCATTGGCATTCTGTTCTGGAGTAACGCACAAATGCAAGGCATTCCTGATTCGCTGGAATTCCTCCTGCCCCACAATGGACTGCAGCTCTGGATCAGCCAGAACATCCTCGCTACTTGCAAAAACCTCCGGCACATGAATGTCGCGGCTCGCATGTCTGCCTCGAGGAGTCTTTCTGGGCTTCTCTGCATCCAGCAAAGCAAGAAAATCTAAATCAGCATGTTGCAGGGGTTCCTGGGGGGCCTCAGGTGCTGCATTCTCATCTTCATCTGCAGCCCCATCGGCTGGCTCACTGGCATCCACCACTATGACCTGCATGCTCTCATCTCTACCAGTCACACGAACACTAGATGGCCAAAGATCCTCAAAGAGCAACTTCGTTATCTGTACCGTGCAAGCAGCAGAGTCCATCAAACCGCCCAAATCCAAAAGATGCTTTGCAAACTCGTCTGCATTCCGCATCAGAAGAGGCCCCACCGAAGGAGACAGGTCGTCACCTCCCTGGAGAGGCAACCAAACCTTCTTCATGGCTACATAGGGCTGGGTTTGGAGCTGCAAGTCCAAACCATTGAACCGATCATTGCCTGCAGACACATCAGGCCTGCCATTCACAGGAGCTGCCTCAACGAACACCTGATCAGGTTTGTGCACACCGCTGCGAGCTGAAGGCGAAGTGAGAAAAGCAAAGATGGTGAATAACTGTCGACGAGGATGAAAGACTTCGAAGGCCAACAAGATATCGGCCTTCACTGCCTCTGAAATCTTGCCATGCAGTTTCACAACACGACAAAAGGATGACACCAAGTTGCAATGAAATCGAACACGCTCTGACCCAGCCTCGAACCGACACTGCTCACCACAATGCCCCTCATAGAGCACTTTGCTTGGAAATGTTTCGGCTGGGCAGCTAGGCCTCGCGATTCGCTCCGTTTCCATGCGAAAACGATTGCAAGCATCCTTCCATGTAACTCCGTTTTTGCATTGGGCCTTCCAAACATTCTGAAGAACCGTCTCGGATATCGGATGTCCCGTGGGCCTGCTCTTCTTAACAGCTGCAGCTTCGAGCTTAGACATCAAGGATTGCAAGTCAATGGCCTGCGACATCTCCTGAAACGATAGCGTGTGAGCATTCCAGGGTCGAATGGGTCGAACGGGTTGGGGCTGGCCCAGTTGCACCACAGACATCTGCTCAGAATCTTGCACTGAAATTTCGCCTACTCCTCGCTCATGCTTTGCTCTGGCTCGTGCAGCAGAAGCTGAGGCCTGGGAATCCTCAGCTAAAGATTGGTAGACCTGTTTTTGCTGCTGTGTAAGGCCTGCATAAGCTGCACGGACGGCGTCCCACATCTCCTTCGTACATGGATTCGCAACCCCCGCACGAGCCTCCCTCTTCAAGAAGTCAGCCCGAAAGAGCTCGAGTGCAGGCTGAGCTTTGACACCCTGTCCTTTCCTCGTTTCTTTCTGCGAAATTGCTGCATATCTTCCGCCATGGGGCGCAGGCATGGAACCTGAGGATGCAGACGAAGAAGCAACGTGCTCCTGTGAGCTTTGCTTCTGGATCAGGTTGGCCTCCGAGTTCACATACTTCGCACATATAGTTGAAAATGCAGACCCTGCACTCAAGCGATTAACAGCGTGCTTGCTTTCGACATCGCATATGGACCACTGCAAAGTCGAGCCATAAAAGCACATGACAGACCGCCATTTCGGCGAGCAAAGATCTTGGCTGCTCAACCCTCGCATTTTCAACATTCGAGCGATGCCAGGCTGCGTACAACAATGTCGCTTTGTATCCCACTGCAACAACACTCTTTGTACCGCTCGATCGTTTGCCTGCGAATCTCCAAGAATGGCAATGGCATATCTGAGGTCGTGCATGTAAACATGTTGCCTGCGGTAGACCCACCCAGAAACCAGCATGAGCAAGCGACGAAAAAGTCGCACCTTTGCTGGGTCGTGCAAGCAAAACTCCTCAAACGACACATGCTTGGCACTCAGCAATGCAACACGGCCTGTTCCAGACACATTCATGACAAGCGAGCTGAGATGCTGCAAGACGCCACGCACAGCACTCACTTCGGGATCAAGTGTTTCGAAGAGAACACATCGCCGGTTTGCATTCAAGCTTTTCTTCAATGAGCCCATCCAGTACCATGTCAAACACCTGGTGGCCTCCATGATGATTGACAGACATGCTACCGTCCACGCAGTGTCGGCATCCTGGAGGAATCGCAAAGAACCTTGGTGGCGACGACCATTCACAGCCGAAAACGACAGAGCCTCGATTAGCCGTGGATCTTGTTCTGCACCTCCATCTTCAAACTCAGCAAAGGTCAGGCTGGAAAATGCAATCTTGTAGGCTTCCACAAGCCAGCCATGCATCAGCAAGCCATGCAAGCAAAAGTCCAAAGAGCCAAACATGGTCGTCCACTTGGAAGGAGCTGGAATTGTAGGCATGCAAGATACAAAAATGTCCAACAATGCATCCGTGCACTTCCGAATGCAGTCCATGCGATCTTGGCAGTGCCGGGCCGATGGCGGCAAGCTCCAATGCGTGCAGACGTGGCACGGGGCTCCTGAGATCTCTCCATTAAACATGTCCAACAATCGATCCACCTTGGACTTGAACCTCTCAGCAGTCTTGGGATCCTGACACTCCTCAGATTCAGATCGTGCTTCCAAATCCCTCCAGAACTGCAAGTAAGAAAGAAGCTCTCGAAGGCGACGATCGGGAGCTGGCATCTCGTCAACAGAAAGAGACTCTGGTCTGAAAAGCAAGCTCTGCGACAGCCACTGCCTGACAGCCTGTTGCAGCCTGCCCCAATACCCCAAGTTCCGAAGAAAAGTTGACAAGGAATACAATCTGCTTAAGAGATCCTGATCCAAACTTGACAGGACAGCCGCGTTCGTCAATTGAACTGCATGATTCATGCATCTTGCATGGCTCATAAGCTTGTCACTTTCTTTCGCCAGTTTATACAGGTGAGCGATCAGCCTTTCATTGGCGGCTGCTCCATCTGCTTCTATGAGGTCAAGTGTTTCCTCGGACTTCTTCTGCAGCAGTGACACCAGGTTGTTCACAACTTTAAAGCTCGGGTGGAAATGGAGCGCGTAGAATTGCGAGGCCGCTCCAGTGGAAAGAAGCACCACAGGAGGAAGGGCCACCTGCAGGACCACGTTCTCCCCTGATGGCCATATCACTATCAACCTGAGACGGTATATCATCGTTTGCCAAGTGCTTCTCGATCTGTGCCTATTCTTCTGGGGATTAAGCGAACAAAGCAAAGCCGTTTCGTCGAATTTCTGATGCTTTATGATCAGCAGAGGTGCTCTCACTGAAGCGAAAGAACAAAGTTTTGCTATCTGCAAGGCTTGCTGGTTCATCCACGAGCCACAAACAAATACCTGCATGTTCTTTACAGTGCTGACACCCTTGTTCAAGTAGACGGCAATTGCACTGTTTCTCCTGAACCTTCCAAATGCTGCTTCCAGAAATTCAGCCCACAAAATGCTTCGATGGTACCGGTTCCCCTTTTTGGATCGCTTGCTAAGCTGCAGCTGCAAACCGCCAGCGACATCGGACACTCGAGCCCTCACTCCAATTATATCACCAGCTTCTGTTAAGAACTTCGGGTCCTTTAACAGCTCTGCAACTTCTTGCCCGAAAGCATACGACCGACGGGCCATCTTCGAAGCGCGCATGTGGCAAGCTAATAATCGTCGCTCGAAAATGCCTCCATGCCTGCCATGGCCCACTTGCCCTACTTGACTGCTCAGCTTCAAAGACTGGGCAGCTGCTTCAGCTGCTTCATCGGTCACATCAGGCACTGCCACTGCCTGATTCGGCACATCCAGGCTTTCCGGCCCAAGCGAAGGGCCTCCTCCATCAAGCAACTCTAGCAAATCGAGATCCATGGCCTGGTCATGGCCTGGTCCCCTATCAACACGGGCTCCAGCGGGGTTGGGCTTAGGGTTGAGGGTTTACAAATTTGGGCATTGACCTACCTCGGAACAGTCCTGGCCACCCCTTGGCTTCTGGAAGGGAATCTGCACTGCGTCGCACACATACTGTGTATTGTCAATATTTCAGATTGACAGATATTGAGCCCTGCTTCGCCAGTCGGCAGGCCTCGGAATAAGGAACAACCACGACAAAGAAGAATGACCGCAAGATAGGGCCGAAATGTCCCCGAGATAAGATTGAAATGACCCCAAGATAAGGCTGAAATGACCCCGAGATAAGACTGAAATGACCCCAGGATAAGGCTGAAATGCCGCCAAGATAAGACTGAAATGGCCCCAAGATAAGGCTGAAATGGCCCCAAGATAAGGCTGAAATGGCCCCGAGATAAGACTGAAATGACCCCAAGATAAGGCTGAAATGCCGCCAAGATAAGACTGAAATGGCCCCAAGATAAGGCTGAAATGGCCCCAAGATAAGGCTGAAATGGCCCCAAGATAGGCTTGGTAGAACCCCTGTAAAGAACCCCATCAAAAACGTGATAGAGCTCACCCCCAAGGGTTTAGGGTTTAGGGTTTAGGGTTCCGGGACCCGAAACCCCAAAAACCCGAAACCCTACGCCACTCCCTGGCAGGCTCTGGCGGATTTGAACGACGAGGATCGAGCCGTTGCATCCCGCGTAGCCTTTGAAGAGGGGCTATTGAAACCACTAAACAGTTACTGGTAGTAGGGAATGAGGGAATAAGGGACCTTACATCCCCGATATGTATTAAAAAGTTTCTGGTAGTAGGGAATGAGGGACTACCCTGGACAACTTCCTTTTTGGGGGGGTTTTAGGGTTTTGGGTTTTGCCTAAACCTACTGTTTCTTACTGGTAGTAGGGAGTGAGAGTGGCTACCCAGACAAAAAAACAACAAGCAGTTGCAAGCCGAACCCCCAGCAGACCCATAGCCGGACCCCCCCCCCCCCGGCCCCCCCTGAAACCCAAAGCCTTCTAAACCTTGAACCTTAAACCTTAAACCTTAAACCCTAAACCCTATAACCCGAAACCTTGGGGAAGCCCAAGCCCTCGACCACTACAGGGAGCGCACCTAGCAGCTAGAAGTGGGATGATAAGGGCCCCTAAACCCGAAACCCGAAACCCTAAAACCCGAAACCCTAAAACCCTAAACCCTAAACCCTAAACCCTAAACCCTAAACCCTAAACCATACCCCAAGAGGTATGCCAAAGAGACTCCCAGCTCCAATCCTCCTTAACCCATGTTCCAGCTTTCTGGAGTTTACTGTGAACCAGGCTCGGGTGCATGCGGCTTAGGGTTTAGGGCTTAGGGCTTATGGTGCAGTGTAAACCCTAAACCCTAAACCCTAACCCCTAAACCCTAGGGTTCATGGTGAGGAGCTCCGCAATTATGAGCACACGAAGGAGAAGCTCGAGACGCAGGTGCTGCATAGGGTTTTCGTCTTTTGGGGTTCCCAAGTCTTTGGCTCCAAGTATGGGCCCTTAATTTGGGGTCCCTTGTTATATGACCCCGTATATACTCTACACAATTCTGGGCCCTTAAGTCGGGGTGTCTTCTTATACCCTAAACCCTAAACCCTAAACCCTAAACTCTTAAGCTTAAGCCTGAGTGCTCAGCTAAAGCCTTCTCACGTACAGGAGCGTAACACACCTTGACGGGAATGTAAACAAATGACCTTCTAGTCTTACCTAGAGGTAAATGGTAATTATAGAATATAATTACAGCCATTTACAGGTAAGTGCATGTCTGTATACAAATATTCGTTAATATTTCTATAGACAGTACTGTCAGTATTAATACAAGAGTTATTTAATGCCGTAAAACCCTGACATCAAACCTTTTTTGGACCCTAGCGTGCTCGTGGCCAGCCAAATGCTTGGGGCCAAAAATTACTCGGGAACAGCGCGTTTTTCTTTGTCTGGCCTTGCTAAATCGTGGTTGAAGCCAAAAATGAAGCCAAAAATTACTCCAAAACAGTGCGTTTCTCTTTGCGTGGCCTCTCTGAAGCTCTTTCGAAGGTCTGAAGGAGGCTGAAAGCTTTTTTGAAGGTCCCAGGGAGGCTCCGTGGGGGGTACCCCAGGATTCGGGAAAAATGGCTCGATTCCCAATTAATTTTAAATAGATTTTATATAGCGGAAATTACCCCCTCATTTTCTAAAATTCTGGCCTTCTTGTGGGGGTAGCCCAGGAGAGGGCAAGCCACCCTAAGCCCCAGTCAAACCCGGATCAAAAAATGGACCCTCGAGTGCTCGTGGCCAGCCAAAGGCCTTGGAGCCAAAAATTACTCGGGAACAGCGCGTTTTTCTTTGTCTGGCCTTGCTAAATCGTGGTTGAAGCCAAAAAGGAAGCCAAAAATTACTCCAAAACAGTGCGTTTCTCTTTGCGTGGCCTCTCTGAAGCTCTTTCGAAGGTCTGAAGGAGGCTGAAAGCTTTTTTGAAGGTCCCAGGGAGGCTCCGTGGGGGGTACCCCAGGATTCGGGAAAAATGGCTCGATTCCCAATTAATTTTAAATAGATTTTATATAGCGGAAATTACCCCCTCATTTTCTAAAATTCTGGCCTTCTTGTGGGGGTAGCCCAGGAGAGGGTAAGCCACCCTAAGCCCCAGTCAAACCCGGATCAAAAAATGGACCCTCGAGTGCTCGTGGCCAGCCAAAGGCCTTGGAGCCAAAAATTACTCGGGAACAGCGCGTTTTTCTTTGTCTGGCCTTGCTAAATCGTGGTTGAAGCCAAAAATGAAGCCCAGTCAAACCCGGATCAAAAAATGGACCCTCGAGTGCTCGTGGCCAGCCAAATGCCTGGAGCCAAAAATTACTCGGGAACAGCGCGTTTTTCCTTGTCTGGCCTTGCTAAATGGCTTCTCTGAAGCCACCCTAAGCCCCAGTCAAACCCGGATCAAAAAATGGACCCTCGAGTGCTCGTGGCCAGCCAAATGCCTGGAGCCAAAAATTACTCGGGAACAGCACGTTTTTCTTTGTCTGGCCTTGCTAAATCGTGCTTGGGGCCAAAAATTACTCCAAAACAGTGCGTTTCTTTGTGTGTGGTCTCTTTAAGTGCGTTTTTCTTTGTCTGGCCTTTCTAAATCGTGCTTGGAGCCAAAAATTACTCCAAAACAAGGCGTTTTTCTGTGCGGAGTACCCCACAGGAGGGGGTAAGCCCCCCTAAGCCACCCAAAGGCCTTAGCAAGCCGACTTTCTAGTCTTACCTAGAAGTAAATGGTAATTATGGAACATAATTACAGCCATTTACTGTGTAAGTGCATGGTCTTTTGTTTCTCACATTTTCTGTAATCTCTTTACCAGACACTATTATCAATATTAGCGACGCTTAAGAACTTAAGCGTCCTACAGATGCTTTGGGTGGCATCCTGGGGTGGGAGAAAGTAGAGCTCCATGTACATGACGGAACTCTTTTGCGCTGAAGGTTTCGGACGTCCGTCTCTCTTTCCATACACTACGCATGTTAAATCGACAAGCCTTAAACCCTAAACCCTAAACCCTAAACCCTAAACCCTAACCCCTTTTTCCACTAGATATAATCAGGGTAAGGGTACATGCTAGGGACCCATGGTTGCAGCCTTAGACGAAGCCCCTAAACCCTAAACCCTGAACCCTAAACCTTCAGCCTTCGATTGAATTCCCTAAGCCTCTTTTGCTGCCCTAAGCCCCGACCCTCAGGCTCGAAATAGCCGAAAGACCTTATATAACCAGGCCTTTGGGCCTAAAGACCTAAAATAAGAGTCCTAGAAGGGCCTAAAGACCGAAAATAAGAGTCCTATAAGGGCCTTAAAGACTTAAAATAAGAGTCCCATAACAGACCTAAAATAAGAGTCCTATAAGGGCCCAAAGACCCAAAATAAGAGTCCTAAAAAGGGCCTAGAGACCCTAAAAGAAGAGTCCTATAAGAGCCCCTAAAAACCACAATTAAGAGTCCTATAACGGCCTAAAAAAGCCTAAAAATAAGAGTCCTACAAGGGCCTTTAAAGGCCTAAAATAAGAGTCCTAGAAGAGTCCTAAAGACCTAAAATAAGAATCATTATAAGGCAAAAGGAGCCCGAAACCCCTGGACCCCAAAATGCTTTGTGTGTTGGACCTGGCCAACCTGTGGCCTCCAGGAGCTTTAGGGTTTAGGGTTTAGGGTTTAGGGTTTAGGGTTTAGGGTTTAGGGTTTAGGGTTTAGGGCTTTGCGGGGGTATAGGGGTACTTCTCTAAACATGCGGGTACTTTTTCTGGCTTGGCCGAATAGCACCCTTGAAATGAGGACCTCAGAAGAGGACTAGTTTAGAGAACTATGGGTTTCGGAGGTCTCCAACTCCTTCATCCTCGCGGCCCAAAGCGCACGGTAGGAGTGGCCACATGCCTTGTGCCAGAAGTTAGGCTCCACATGTTGCAGCTCTTGTCCTGAAGGCTGTAGGAGCGGCCGCCGGCACAAAGAGAGAGAAATGAAGCTTTCGCGTGTTCCTAGCTACAAAAAAAAAAGACGCTCTAAAACAACCTAGACCCTCTAAAGCCCGCTAAACCTTGCGGCTGCTGCCTTGCTTCTCTTGTGTCTCCCGGTGGGGGGGAGAGGACTCTGGCATCTCAGAGAGCCCTGCGGGTAGCTGCCAGCCATGGCGCCCAAGAAGAATGAGTCCTTCCTGGCGAAGCAGGAGCGCCTCCGGAAGAAGGCGGAGGACCCGACCGACTTATTTTCAGTTTTTTTTTTTTTTTTTTTTTTTTTTTTTTTATTTTTTCAGTTTTTTTGTTTGTTTGTTTTTGTTTTTTTGTTTGTTTTTTGTTTAACTTGTTTTTGTTTTTGGTTCCCAAGCACCCTTCTAGCATCCGCTGCGAGGAGGAGGAGAACTTTGAGGCCACGGCCGAAGACATCGAGAGGGAGATGGCGGAGGAGATCAATGCCCAGGCGGAGCCACTGAGAGGCACGAAGCATCCCGTAGTCCCCATATACACCCTATAGAATTCTTTAAGGATTGTATAAGAGTCACATGCACACATACAAGCTCAAGAGCCTCGCACGTGTGCATGCTCTAGGGAGAGAGAGGGAGAGAGAGGGAAAGAGAGAGAGAGAGAGGAGAAGAGAGAGAGAGAGAGAGAGAAGACGGAGAGGAGACGGAGAGGAGAGAGAGGGAGAAGACATGGGGAGAGAGAAGAGAGAGAGGACGTGGGAGACAGGGAGCATGCGAAGTGCTCTCGAAAGATCTAAGGAAAAGCAAGTTCAAGACGCCTGCCTGGGCTCCTTGGCCTGCAGAAGGGAGGGGTACAGCTCGAGTCAGTCTGAGGACGTCTGGAGGTGATACGCTTTTTAGTTAGGGGTTTCAGGTCCAGCTTAGGAAACCCTTGCTGCGACTTGAGGTGAACATCACCGCTGCATTGGTGGGTGTCCTCCAGCTGGGCTACCGGATTGAACAGGAGCGTGAGAGGCGGAAGGACCCGGGATTTAGTTTAGGGCTTAGCCTCAAGGCCCGAGCCCTGAACCCTAAACGCAAAACCCCGAATGGGGGGGTTCTCTGAATCGTGGTCCTTCCTGGGAAAACTACCCAGATCTTGAACCCCAAGTCCTATATGGGGGGGTTTTTGACAACAGAGGGCTACCATTTCCTTTGAAAGGGATTCTATTCTGTTTGGGGGCAAAATATTTTGGGAAATGCCCATATACCCCAAGTCCTTCAGCCTCCATGAAGGATGACTACTTCGCCAACCCTCGGCCTGAGATCTACACCTTCGTGGCCTCCATGTCGTTCGAGGTGCTGGGAGTGAGCGTATTGAAGTATTTAGGGTTTAGGGTTTAGGAGTTTAGGAGTTTAGGAGTTTAGGAGTTTAGGAGTTTAGGGTTTAGGAGTTTAGGAGTTTAGGAGTTTAGGAGTTTAGGAGTTTAGGATTTAGGGATTACGGGTTTGCAGGTTTTAGTGTATACGAGTAGAAGGGCGAAGGGGTCATGAGTCAGGGCTTGAAGCTAGGGTGATTCTGCAAATTATTGCCATCGATCTGTCAGAAGAGCTGACCGCGCTTGTGCTTGCCCGCATACGGCTGATGACTAGCTTCTGCAACTGAGTTTAGGGTTTAAAGGGTTTAGGGTTTACGGTTCAGGGTTTAGGGTTTAGGTTTTAGGGTTTACGGTTCAGGATTTAGGGTTTAGGGCTTATAAGGGCTCAGGGACGATGGTCGCAGAATCTCTGCTTCAGGGACGTTCATGTCGCCTGCAGTCCCAAGCCCGGAACCCTAAACCCTGCACCCGAGTTTCTTGTAAACCTTAGCACGAAATCTGATGGCCCTCTGCACCCAAGCAGACGTCTAGTATAGGGGTCGGAACAAGTACAAATAGTATCCCCTTTTAGTCCCAATATGCTTGTACTAGAAGATCCCCCAAACCCGCATTAGGGTTTAGGTTCCCTTCTGCGCCCTTTTAAACCCAAAAAACGCAGACCG